TTGAGGTCTAAGAGTTATCCTTCAGTTCGGGAGCAATGGAGATGTCAGCCAGTATAGGAAGCTACCTGGGAGTCCGAGTCAGACATGCGGAGTAAACATTCACACTTATTCACCAGCTCAGGTATTTTTTTCTAACTCCGTTCAAGGACGAACGTTTGTTTTAGAGGTGGAGAATGTGATGACCCAAAATGTCATCTTTAAAGTTAATTATTAATTCTGTGTTCTAAGACCTTGAAAAGAACTATTTATTATTCCTCGACTTGTGTGCACAGTCCGTAAAATTTTTCGAAAAGTTTTTATATGAAAAATGGATTAAAATGTGAAATGGAGCTTTAAAACTCAACTGAGTTGACTTTGGTCAATATTTTGAGCAAACGAACCCGGATCAGTATTTTGACATTTCTGGTAGCTCTGTATCGTGATTTGGGACTTGGGAGTATGCGCGGAATTTAATTTGGAGGTCCCTAGCTCAAGTTATGACCATTTAACGGAAACTAGAAATTTAAAGGCTAAAGATTTCCAAGTTTGACCACGGGGTTAGCTTTTTGATATCGGAGCCGGAATCAATTCTGGAAATTTGAATAGCTCCGTTATGTCATTTATGACTTGTGTGCCAAATTTGAAATCATTCCGGATTCATTTAATATGTTTTGGCACGAGATTTGCAAATTGAAAAGCTTAAAACTCAAAGTTCGAATCGAGGTGTGAATTGTAATTTCGATGTTATTTGATGTAGTTTTAGACCCCGAGTAAGTCCTTGTTATTTTACAGGACTTGTTGGGATATTTGAATAATGTCCCGAGGGGCTCGGGTGAGTTTCGGATGAAATTCGGATTGGTTAGAGCATGTTGAAAGTAGCAGGTTCTTGGCAGAACCTGGTGTAACTGCACCTGCGAAATAATGATCGTAGGTGCGCAGCCGCTCCTGCAGAAAGCTGGTCGCTTCTGCGACTTTGGCCTTGGGTTGTAACTTCGCTTCTGCGGAGATCAATCACGCAGGTGCGTGCTCGCATGTGCGAGCCCAGGCACCGCAGATGCGAAAATGCCGGGGCAGTGTATATATTGAAGAGTCCGATATTTTTACTCATTTTGGATATTTTGAGCTCGGTAAGGCGAATATTGGGGCGATTTTCACGGGAAAAAATTAGGATAAGTGTTCCTTATCCTATATTGATTATATTTCATTATTCCATACTCATTTACATCATGAATCCGTGAATTTATGGAAGAAAAATTATTTTTTTATAAAATCTTTCAAATAATAAAAATTTAAGATTTGAAGGTTCATTTGATATCAGAATTGGATAATTTTTATATGGTTGGACTCATCTCAGAATGGGTGTTCAGATTTCGTAAGTTTTTTCGAGATTTGGGATGTGGGGTCCCACTTTCGAATATTTAAATAAATTTTGAATTTTATCCAGAAAATTAGTAAATTCATATGGAATTAATTCCAATGATTCGTATTGAGTATATCGAATTGTTTGTAAATAGATTTGAAGCTTTTGGAGATAAATTTAAAAAGAAAAGCTTTGGTCGAGTAATTGATTGGAATTTGCAAAGCGAGGTAAATGTCGTGGTTAACCTTGACTTGAGGGAATAGAACCCTTAAATTATTTGTTATGTGAAATGCATGTGAACGACGTATAGGCAAGGTGACGAGTGTCTATACGTCGTCAAATTAATTATTTGTATAATTATTTGAAAATCATAAATCGTTTTAAATCATGAATGGATTATTATATTAATTGTTTCACTCATAATTTCCTTGCCAAATATTAATTCTTGAATTCCTGTAATAATTGCTACATGCTTATTTGAATTATGTGTACTAATTGCTACTTGACATTTAGCATATTAAATATTAAACTGTCTATTTTCTCCCTGATTTCCAAAATAAATTATTATTGCCATTGTTTGTTCTTAAATAAATTATAAATAATTGTGTGCCTTGATGCTTAATAGTTTCTCACTGGACGTGGTATTTATTGGAGTAATTTTTATTTACATTTATGAGTTGTTTAAATTTATTTATTGGGGGAACGGGTTGCACGCCTGTAACAGAAATGAAAGTAAATATATCTATATTGGGGGATCGGATTGCACGCCTGTAACAAAAATTGCTTGAAATAATAATTGGTTATGACTGCTGAGTTGGCTTCAATTATTATAAATGAGTTACCTGATTTATTTTTATTATTTATTGTTGTTACTAATATTGCGTACGATTTAATGTAAGTGAATCGCCTTAGCCTCGTCACTACTTCGTCGAGGTTAGGCTCAGCACTTACCAGTACATGGGATCGGTTGTACTGATACTGCACTCTGCACTTCTTGTGCAGATTTTGGAGTTGGTCCGAGCGGCGTACCATAGACTTGCTCGGATTTCAACCACTAGAGGAGACTTGAGGTATAACTGCACGGCGTCTGCAGTTCTGAAGTCCCCGTGTACTTAACTTTAGTTGTGTGTTTGTTTCGAGACAACTTTATTTTATTCAGACCTTTATTTGTATTATTCTAAAAGCTCGTGCACTTGTGACACCAATTCTGGGATCGTATTTAGACACCGTTGTTTTATGGATTATTCACTACATTTTAAATCTTGCTTCCGCATTTATTTCTTAGTTATTAATAAATTTAAAAATTATTTAAAAATGGCTAATATTATTCTAACGTTGACTTATCTAGCAAGTGAAATGTTAGGCGCCATCACGGTCCGAATGTGAAAATTTCGGGTCGTGACACATAACCTATGCCTCCCAAGTCTGAGAGTGCAAGACTAATTGAGCAATATACTAGTAAAAGAACAGGAACCTTCATGGTTATGGTTCTTAGTCTAACTTTAACTACATATATTGCTGTTTCGGAATTATGCTTTACGCTCGAAGAAGATCGGAAATAATCAGTATTATAAAATTTAGCCAAACACTTGAAGAAGATTAGGAATAAAAGAAAGAGTTGATGGCAAACCTAAGTTTTACTGAAGTTATGTTAGTATAGGTTTTCTGAAGTTAGTACATATGACTTACTTCCTTTATTTATTTTAAATAAAACTCCTAATAGACCTTAGTTTGTCTTATATGGTTAATGTAACTATATTGGGTGTAAACATCCGATGCAGGTAAGTTTTTACCATTATCATGTATCATACGAAAAATGTACCTTAATTATTTGATACATTAATAGGCCCTTATTTAAATTTATGTGTTCTTGCATTTTTGAACATCCTAGAACTTTAGTTTCAATAGAAATAGAAAAACAAATTTGGAAATAGGGACTTTAGGTGTTAATTACTTGATGTCTTGTGCGTGTTTCCATGATAAGGGCCAAGGGGAAAAAGTATTTTGTTAGTTTTAAACTTAATATATAAAAATATTATGTTTTTTATATATAAATTTATACGGTATGATTCAATATCTTTTGGGTTTTAATTTTATAAAATAAAAAACATACCCTATTTTCAATAGAGAGCTTGACTAAAACACCGAGATGTACTTGGCTTTTTATCTAGATTCTGTCCTCCACGAGATTTGACAAAGTCACACTTCTTAGGTGGCTATACTTAATAAATTGTGTTCTTTTGTGTGGAAAAAGTGTGGAATTTATACTCCCTCGGTCCCCATTTATGTAGCGTTGACTGAGCATGGAGTTAAAAAAAAAATTACTTTTGAAATTGATGATGTAAAATAAGTCATGAATATTTGTGTAGTTTTAAAATATCTTTTTAAGGTAAAATGATAAACTTAAAGTTAAATTATTTTTAAATATAAAAATATGTTATTCTTTTTTATATAAACTAAAAAAAAAAGTGTATCACATAAAATGGGACAGAGGGATACCACAATTAATCAATCTACTTTTAAATTTCAAGTGTTCTCTCGCCTCAATAAGCTTCAAAATCTTTCTTCCTACCATGTAGATTTATTTTTTAAGAAAGATTGTCATACTATAAATTTTAATAAATTTTGAATTTTGTTATTGTATATAGTGGTAAAATTGTATTAAATGTAAGATGAAAGTCCCCATTTGGTTAAATAGTGGACAATGAACTAGGAGGACATAGAAGCTACAATTTTGGTTATTTTTAATTATTTGTCTCTAGAGTTCAATGAGCAGGTAACGTATTTATTCTTATTTGGTTGAATAAGATTTTATATTTTAACCCAAAAAACTCTTCATAGTGGAGTTTGTGCTATTATATGTTTAGAATCTTAAAAAAACAGAGGAAAACCATTGACTGTTCAATTTATAAGAACAAAAGTACATTAATAATAATTATTTAATAATTATGCGGGAGACTATATCTAAAGCATTACAATTCTAGCAAATTTCGTTAAATGTTATGTCATCTCAGATAGATAGATCAATTTAAATAAAAAGTGTATCTCTGTGTTTGTGGATTTCTTTGTCTGTTTTGTTTTTCCAAAACAAATTTAAGTGTTTCCTTTTACAACCTCTTGTCAATATTATATATCTTTTAAGATTTTTGCATACTCTTATGAAAGTCATTTTAATAGACATAATCATATGGGTATTTGTCTAAATTCTCTTTTTTCTCCTTAAACATATCACTTAATTAATATTAATACTAATTAAAAAGATAGGATGGATTTGAAAATACGAGTAATATTAAATGATTTCTCTAACACCTCAAATATTTTGAGACAAATTCAATTTGGAAAAAGTAGAAATATTTCAGAATATGGGAGTATCAAATACACGTAAATGAGTTGCTGTATGTCTAGTTGTGATAACGTAGATAATCACCACACATATATTTAAAGTAAAATGTTTAAATTTGCTGTTAAACTATTCGGAATTAAAGTATACGGAGGGCAAAGTTGTCCCTTCTCCGAATATTCGACCATTTTTTCTCACCACATCAGATTTGAACTTTCTACATTTTTTTTCCATAACGTGCTTCGCTGGGCAATTGACTTTGACTTTTTAAGTCTTTGTCGGTCTTCTTCTGCTTGCCAAATGGTTCCTTAAACGCACAATTTCAGCTCAAATGTTCCTTACTCTCTCATTTCCATTTTAGCTATGGCTTTGTGCATTAAAAATGGCTTTCTTGCGGCTGCCCTTGTACTTGTTGGGCTGTTAATGTGCAGCATCCAAATGATAGGTATCTCTCTCACACACACATGTACACTACATGTATATATATGCACCTTGTACCATGCGGATCAACTTATATACACTAATAGCGTAAATAACTTTTGTGGTAGTATTGATTTGCTCTTGTATTTTCTTATGCTTGGTTTACCTTTACTACTTAGGGATTCTGTTCTTATTTTTATTCCTATTTTTGTTTCTTTCAATTTGGTTGATCTATTAACTTGCGGTTATTTACTGTTTGTTGATATTGCTATTGCTTCTTTTTGATCTTTTTTTGAGCCGATGGTCTATCGAAAATAACCTCTCAGAAGGCAACGGTAAGGTCTGCGTACACTCTACCTCCCCAGACCCCATTTGTGAAATTACATTGAGTTTGTTATAATATTTTTATGTTGTATCATATAACCTACCTTATTTTTGTAAGTCACTTATTATGAATAGTTACCTATAGTTATTTCTAGGTAACCTGACACTATAATGTTGGTTTGAGAAGAATTTATATAGAAAATCATAGTTAGTGAGTCGACACCTAACTTATTTGGGGACTGTCGCATTGTTGCTGCCGTTGTTTATTCTAATGTACATTTTTTCTTATCATGCAGGGGCACAATCTATTGGAGTATGCTATGGAAAAATTGCCAACAATTTACCATCAGAACAAGATGTCATAAACCTATACAAGGCTAATGGCATTAGAAAGATGAGAATCTACTATCCAGATAAAAACATCTTCAAAGCTCTCAAAGGAAGTAACATTGAGATCATTCTTGATGTTCCAAATCAAGATCTTGAAGCCCTAGCCAATTCTTCAATAGCCAATGGTTGGGTTCAAGATAACATAAGAAGTCATTTCCCATATGTTAAATTCAAGTACATATCTATAGGAAATGAAGTATCTCCCATAAATAATGGTCAATATTCACAATTTCTTCTTCATGCAATGGAAAATGTGTACAATGCATTAGCAGCATCAGGGTTGCAAGATAAGATCAAGGTCACAACTGCAACATATTCAGGGCTCTTAGCAAACACCTACCCACCCAAAGCTAGTATATTTCGAGGAGAATTCAATAGTTTCATTAATCCCATAATCCAATTTCTAGCACAAAATAACCTTCCACTCTTAGCCAATGTCTACCCTTATTTTGTTCACATTTCCAACACTGCTGATGTCCCACTTTCTTATGCATTGTTCACACAACGAGGAAAAAATTCAGCAGGGTATCAAAATCTTTTTGATGCCATTTTGGATTCTATGTATTTTGCTGTAGAGAAAGCTGGAGGACCAAATGTGGAGATTATTGTATCTGAAAGTGGCTGGCCTTCTGAAGGAAACTCTGCAGCAACTATTGAAAATGCTCAAACTTATTACAGAAATTTGATTGATCATGTTAAAAGAGGGGCAGGAACTCCAAAGAAACCTGGAAAGTCTATAGAAACTTATTTATTTGCCATGTTTGATGAAAATGTTAAGAAAGGAGAAATCACAGAGAAACACTTTGGGCTCTTTTCTCCTGATCAGAGGGCAAAATATCAACTCAATTTCAATTCTTTGATGCCAATATATATTGATATATCTAGAGTGATATGAGTAATAAGGAGAACTGTTATGTTTTTCTCCAATTGAAAATGTAACTATGGTTTCACTTTGATATCTATATGTCATATTTATTGAAATCACGTCTTTTGGTTTTAAAGTCTCGCCTTCTATTGGCAAGTATCTGCTTAGTTTTCATATTAAAAATACTAAGCCTAAAAAGAGTGACTACCAATATATTCTTGACGACAAAAAAACTGTATGAAAGACCATTTTGCATTGGATGCTCTTTTTAACCTCCCTTCAATATGATGTTTTTTTGTCTTGGAGAGTGTAAGCCTACTTCTTCTCCAGAATTTTCTTTGTCATCAATACGACATGTTCTTAACATAACTACTCTTAATTTCTGATCAGTAACCATCCGGAAAAAAAAGAAAAATTAAGCAAGGGGATGACTCATATTCGATCAGAATGTTTGACTTTGGATCAACCCGGCCTGTATATTTCATAACATGTGTTTCATTGAAGAGGATGAACTACACTTTTTTCATTACCGCACCCAAGGCAGATCGAAACAAAGAATATCCACCAATATTTTCATTCTCTTGACCGGCTATGATACTGGTAATAAAGAGGTCTCTTTCTTCTCTCCAACACTATTTCTTTTTCCCTTCAAGATTCATTTATTTCTATTAGTTTTTACGTAAGCAATTTGCAGGAAGCATACGAAGTCTTTACTTTCGAAATCCATTTCTGAAGACACTGACACTAAAATAAAGTACTTTCGAGTTATTTTTTATTTGTTAGTGGTTTTGTGACTGGTTAGTCACTTTTCACATTACTTGGTGTATATCTTTTTATCTTTGGTTTTCCTTGTGTAAAGAAGATATTTGCGTTAGAATCAAAGATTGAGCAGAATTGGTGAATCCACGGTTAGATTTTCAGAGAGAAAAACGAGAGAAGAAATGAGTAAAGCTCTGTATTGAACAATTATGTTCTGTTGTTTTCTAGAATGTTCCCTACTCTCCTATATACAATGAGCCTATTACTATAATACAAAGAATACAACCGGACCAAGTAAATAATTATAATGGGCATGTGGCTCAACTACACTACCAACTAACTACATCCCAAATATGCAGCGTAACTCCAACACCCCCCCTCAAGTTGGAGGGTGGGCACACTCCCAACTTGCTTGATAAGATGCCATGCTGCAAACCTGTCAAAGACATAGTAAAAATACCAACTATCAAGTGTACCCTTCAAGTATCTCAAAACATATAATGCAATAGTCATGTGAGGAATTCTAAGGGCCTGTAAGAATTGGCTTAGATCCTGGAGAGTGAAGCACATGTCTGGCCTAGTGTGAGTTAAGTAATGCAGCTTCCCAACTAAACTCATATACTTGTCAGGTTGAGGTAACAGATCCCCAAGATCAGCATGTAGTGTATGTGAATTATCTAAAGGAGCAACAACCTCAGAAACATCAGAACAATGATATTCATCAAGCAAATCAGTAATGAACTTCTTCTGATGCAAAATAACACCCGAAGAATGATAAAGAACCTCAATACCCAAAAAATAACTAAGGAGTCCCAAGTCTTTAATTCTGAATTGATCATCCAAAAAATGACTTAAGAGGTAAAATCTCAGATAAATCATCTCCAGTTAGTATGATGTCATCCACATAAACAACAAAGAAAACAGTAGAGGGTTGAGTCTTCTTAACAAATAATGAATAGCCATTCAAAGATTGAGTATATCCTCTAGAACAAAGAGCTTGTGAAAACTTTGCATACCACTTTCGAGATGTTTGTCTAAGCCCATAAAGGGTTTTTTGAAGTTTGCATACCAAGGTGGCAGAATTGGAAGAGGTAGAAGGAACAGAAATCCTAGGAGGAATCTTCATGTAGACTTCTTCATCTAGGTAACCATGCAGAAATGCATTGCTGACATCTAATTGAAATAAAGGCTATTGCTTCTTAAGTGCAACATCAATCAAGCATCTGACAGTGCACATCTTGACAACAGGGGAGAAGGATTCATTAAAATCAATCCCTTCTACCTGAATGTCCTCTCTAACCACCAATATGGCCTATAATCTTTCCACGCTACCATCTGCTTTATATTTAATCTTTCCAATAGGTAGTTTCACAATTTTCCAGGTCTTATTTGCCTCTAAGGCTTCAAACTCTTTGGCCATAACTTCCTGCCAGGCAGGTCTTGCAGCAACATGAGTGTAAGAATGAGGTTCTACTAGAGCATGGTATGTAGCAGAAATGGAGGAAGGAGTGGAAGAAGAAAGGGAAGAAGGAAGTTGTACAAAATAGTCCCTCAAATGAGATGGTATTTGGTGGGTTGTAGAACTCTTTCTAATCACTGGAGTAGGACGAGTTTGAGGTCCTGATTGGCTGGGGTCAGCAATATGTATTGGGGAAGATGGCTGAATAGAATCAGATAAAGAATGATCAGGAACATGTGAAGCAATTGGAATAGGGATATCAGGAGAAGAAGATTCAGGTGGAGTGGAACTAGACAAATCAAAATGTGTATCAAAAGAGAACATGGGAAAGGAAAAAGATGGAGTAGAGGAAGAAGGGGTAGACTGCACCAATTGATAGGGAAACATAGATTCATGAAAAATGATATCTCTGGAGTATAAAACTGACTTAGTATATAAGTTAAATATCTTGTAACCTTTTTTAGCATAGGGATAGCCAAAGAAAATATAAGGGAAAGCTCTTGGTTGAAACTTGTCCCTATGGCATTTAGGCACAGTTGCATAACATAGACAACCAAAAGGTTTTAAGTGAGAGTATGAAGGTGGACAGCCATAAAGAACTTCAAATGGTGTCTTGTTGCACAAAATTGAAGAAGGAAACCTATTGATAAGATAAGTTGCCGTTAAGACACAATCACCCCAAAAGTTGGTAGGAAGTTTGGATTGAAATAATAAAGCTCTTGAAGTTTCAAGTAGATGCTTGTGTTTTCTCTCTACCACCCCATTTTGTTGTGGGGTGTGGGGACAAGTAGTTTCATGAATTATTCTAGTGTCAGAAAAGAACTTAAGAGCTAAATTAGAAGATCCAAGATCTAAGGAATTATCACTCCTAATAACCTTTATAGGAAGTTGAAATTGTGCTTTAACTATTGCTATTAATGCCTTAATTAAGGTGAAGGCATAACTTTTGGAGTGCAGCAAATGTGTCCAGGTGGCCATACTGTAATCATCAACTGACTCAGAAAATATCTTTCCCCAGAATATGATTGAGTGTGGTAAGGTCCCCAGGTTTCTACATGTATAAGTTAAAACAGAGCAGTAGAATGAGTAGAGCTGTTTGGAAATGACAATCTAGGTTGTCTTGCTAAAGGGCAAATAGGACAAATGAAAGACTACCTTGCTGATAAAGAAGAGGAAATGGAAGGTATATTTTTCATTTGTGCAAAAGGAACATGACCCCGTCTGTGATGCCAAAGAACATCATTTATATTTATATGTTGGTTACTATTACAAGTTGATAATAAAACAGGATCATGAAGAGAATCCAGAACATCTACATTTGCATTCAAAGAAAAATCATGTACTTCAGCTATGGTATTAAAGCTAGAAACAGATGAATCAGAAACAACATGAAGAGGAATAGATTGTTTAATATTGTCCATGACATTATGGAAAATAGATGCGGGAGAAGTAGGTTGGTTGAAGTAGAATTCCATGGTCCATTCTACCAAGCTCCAGAAGCTTCTTCATAGAATGGGTATGTATAAGTATACATGAATAGAATGTGAATAAAATATAGCATTTGAATTGATCAATCAGTTTACTCACTGAAATCAAATTATAGTAAAAAATAGGTATGTATAAAACCTGATGAAGAGTGAGGGAAGGTAACAGAGTAAGGGATCCAGTACATGTGACCTTCACTTTGTAACCATTAGGCAAAGAAACTAGGTAAGGAATAAGCAGAGGAGTAATGTTGAAAAGAAGAGTTTTATTTGAAGTCATATGGTCAGTGGCTACAGAATTCACTATCCATATCCTTCCAGCTACATTAGTCAACATGCGCATTTTAGAATTACCATTCAGACACACATGTAGAGAAGAAGAACTACCAGCAAAGTTTGCAGAACCCATGATGATAGGTTGAGATGATGACTCATTGAGACCAGATTGCTGAAGAAGACTCATCAATTGAGTATATTGTTCTCTAGTTAGACCATGTACCAATGAATCCTCAGCATGTGAAGGAGTACCAGGAGACTGCCCTTCAACATTAGCAGCAGTACCAAACTTTTTACCTCTTGTGAACTTGAAATTCTGGGGAAACCCATGCAACTTATAATATTTTTCAATTGTATGACCAGGCTTCTTGCAGTACTTGCAAAACAGTGAAGCCTTGTTGTGATCAGAATTGATCCGCTGATTAGACTGATCAAATTTTAGTTTCTGAGGATATTGTTGCTGAGGTGAAAATTGAGGAGGAAACTTGTTGGAATTTGAAGGAGGCTGATTCAGAATAAGTTTGTCGATTTAGAAGGACCTGTCTTTATTTTTCATCTTGTAGAAGTATATTATAGACATTATCAAGAGAAGGCAATGGGTGCATCCTTAGGATATTGCTTCTAACTCCTATATAGACTTCATTTAGACCCATTAGAAATTGATGAACTTTAACTTCTTCCTTTTCTTTCTGAAGACCTTCTTTAGCAGTACAAGCACAAGCATTAGCATGACTATTGCGCATAATCTCCAGTTCATCCCAAAGTTTCTTAAGTTTATTAAAGTAAGAAGCAACATCTAGGGATCCTTGATAAGTGGAGGAAATTTCTCTTTTAATATCAAAGACTTTAGTCCCACTAACAGTCACATATCTGTTGTTTAATTATTTCCAAATACTCTCAGGTGTCTCTGAATATTGTACACTCTTTGCAATGTCTGGGGATAAGGAATTGGTCAACCATGATATGACCACATTGTTACACGTATCCCATTGTCTATACTGAGGAGAGATCTCAGCAGGTTTAATGCACGAGCCATCTATAAATCCTATTTTGTTTTTAGCAGACGGAGAAAGTATCATATTTCACTTCCAACCCCCAAAACATGTCCCAGAGAAAGGAACACTAACAAGAGATACGCCTGGCACATCAAAAGGAAGT